GCTTTTCCACCCTGAGCAGCTTATCACCGGTAAAGAAGATGCAGCGAACAACTATGCAAGAGGACATTACACTGTTGGCAAGGAACACATTGATATTGTCCTGGATAGGATCAGAAAACTCGTAAGTCATATACTTTTAATACACAAATTTTTTTTATGAAGAGAAGAGTTAATAATATGTCTTAAGATGGAGGTGGTGCATAAAATTATGAGCCGGACAGCTATTATGTTAGTTTTTCAAACATATTCAGCGGTATTAATAAATTCTTAGCAGTTTTTCTCGTCTTCTTACTTTGACTTTTCTTGTAATTTTCCCAGGCGGATCAATGTACTGGTCTTCAAGGTTTTCTCATCTTCCATTCTTTTGGAGGAGGTACTGGATCAGGCTTTACCTCACTCCTTATGGAACGTCTGTCCGTTGACTATGGTAAAAAGTCAAAGCTGGAATTTGCTATCTACCCAGCTCCTCAGATCTCTACAGCTGTGGTTGAGCCATACAACTCTATCCTGACCACCCACACCACTCTAGAGCACTCTGACTGTGCATTCATGGTTGACAATGAGGCCATTTTCGACATTTGTCGTAGAAATCTCGACATTGAAAGGCCGACCTACACTAATCTTAACCGCCTTATTGGGCAGATAGTGTCTTCCATCACAGCATCTCTGCGCTTCGATGGCGCTCTTAATGTCGATCTTACTGAGTTCCAGACCAACTTGGTGCCATACCCACGTATCCACTTCCCATTGGCCACCTATGCACCAGTCATCTCTGCAGAGAAGGCTTACCATGAACAACTGAGTGTTGCTGAGATCACTAATGCCTGCTTCGAGCCAGCCAATCAGATGGTCAAGTGTGATCCACGTCACGGCAAGTACATGGCCTGCTGCATGCTGTATCGTGGTGATGTTGTGCCCAAGGATGTCAATGCTGCCATTGCAACCATTAAGACCAAGAGAACCATCCAGTTTGTTGACTGGTGTCCAACTGGCTTCAAAGTTGGCATCAACTACCAGCCACCCACTGTTGTTCCTGGTGGTGACTTGGCCAA